TTCTGGTGTACAGCATAATGTTTCAGTCATACATATATATATACATATATTCCATTTCGTATTCTTTTTCACTGTAGGTTACTAAAAGATATTGAATATAGTTCCCTGTGCTACACAGTAGAAACTTATTGTTTACCTAGTTGACAACTATTAAGTCTTAGTATCTTTGATTTCTAACTCAATAGTTTTTATTATTTTAGAATAAATGGTGAAATGGTTACAGAAATGATTAAACATTCCAACCCTTAAATGGGTTACTAAAATGAGTTGAAATTTGTTACAAATGTCAGGACCGTCAGCTTAGGTATGCAGATACTTCGTAACAAATATCACACAATTCCCTCTCAACACAGTGTTTTCAGAGCTGCCATTCAACATTTAATACTAATCAAGCTAAATGAACAGTGACATCATTTTGCCACTGAGATTATGCTCCAAAACATGTATGTGATTTAGCAAATTAATTCTTATCCATTTTCAAACTTACCATTCCACCTACCAAAGTGTTAAAAGTCAAGAATGTTTAAATTCCCTTACCAAAAGAACTCAAATTACTCTCTTTTAAACTTCAGATAATAAATTGTCATCCACATGCTCACTACTGTGGAAACTGCTACCAGATTAACCCTCCTTTTCAGAAAGAAAGAAAAAAATTTTTTTCAGCTTAAAATAGGAGGAAAAGGAAAGGGGAGAAGTGGTTCTGGAGAAGGAAAGAAGTTATGCCAACCAGATAGAATAAACCTTGCTTTAGACAAAGGGTCTTACTGTCATCTTGGCAGGGCCTCCTTTGAGGCTTAGTTTTGTTCCATCTGAGAATGCATTTATTCTATTTTCATTCTTGAAAGGTATTTTTGATGGTTGCTAGGGTTACTGTTTTCTTCTTTGGCACTTTAAAAATAGAGTTCCACTGTTTTCTGGCCTTCAGAATTTCTGATGAGAAGGCAACGGTCTTTTGAATTATTCCTTTGCATGTAGTTTGTCATTTTTCTCTGGTTGCTTTCAAGATTTTCTATTTATCTTTGGTTTTCAGCAGCTTTGCCTGGGTATGGTTTTCTTTGTAATCTATACTGCTCAGGGTTCACTGAGTTTCTTGAAAATGTAAATTTATGTCTTTTACCATATTTGGGGAAATTTTGGACATTATTTCTTCAAAGAATTTTGTTGTTGCCCCATCTTTTTGTATTCCCGTTTGGGGATGCCAATTATACACATGTCAGGCTTCTTTGTACTGTTTGGCAGGTCCATGATGCTGACGGTTATTCTTGTTTTCGATCTTTTTTTTCCTGTGTTCTTTAGACTGAATCATTTCTTTCGATCTACCTCCAAGTTCACTGACTTTTCTCTGTTACACCATTCTGTTGTTAAACCCATTGAGTAAAGTTTTTATTTAGATACTGTATTTTTCAACTTTAGAATTTTCATTTGTTTCTTTTATAGAGTTCCTATTTTTCCAGTCTATTCATTCACTGAAAACTTACTTTTCTTTACTTCATTGAGAGTAGGTGCTTTAAAATCCTTGTCTGTCAATTCTAACATTTTGGGTCATCTCAGGTTGGTCTCTGCTGATTATCTTTTTCCTTGATACTAGGTCATATTTTCTTTATTCTTCAAATGTTATATAATTTGGAGTTGTATCTTGGACATTTTGAAAGTTATATTGTAAACACTCTGGATTCTGTTATATTCCTCTAAAACTTAAAAGGAGTATTAATATTTTTGTTTTAATAAGCAATTAATTATGGCATTGGAATCAAACTACAGACTCTGTCTCTTGAGTGACAGCTCAAATCACACTTGAGTATTATTTTTTTTAGTCTGTAGCTAGGCTCCTTTGTGTTTGCCCCATGGAGGTGATTCAAGTATCCAGTATTGCTTGTTTGAGGTGTGTAGGCAGCCCCCGCACACAAATGGACTATGATTCAAAGGATATTTTTTGGTATATTTATCTAACTCAGAAATTGGAATGCATTTCTCATGTGTTACCTTGAATGGTTATCTTAACAAACCTTTTAACCAATTTGTACCCAAATCCAGCTATAATTGCTGATTTACATAAGAAAAAGCAAAGCAGTGGCTTGGTTTTCTTTTTCTCATATAATCAGACAACTGAGAAAATAACTCTGCTACAGGACCACTCTTACTACTAAGTTCTCCTGAGTAAGCAAATGTGCGAATTACCACCCTTCAAAATTCTAACATGGGAGGGACTTCTTTTTCTGGGTAAAATATAGAAGAACTGAAGACATTTACTCCCATAGTAACAATAAGAAAAATCCAGACAAAACAAAAACCATACTTTTCCAAGAGGTCAGCAAAGAGCATGGATGCAAGGAAACTGTAGCCATCCTCCAAGATGGCTCCCACGATCCTCCCCTCCTGGTATTCACTCCCTTATGCAGTCTCCTCCCACAATGAATAGGGTTAACCTGTGTAATCAATAGGATATAATACAAATGGCAGTGTGTGCCTTCAAGGACAGGTTATAAAAAGATAATCCCATGCTGTAAATTTTCATTACTCTACTGTTCTCTTAGGGTATTTATTTTTTGTATTACAGTTATTTTCATACATTAGAATAAACATCTAAATTATCTTTTCCACAATTCTTAGCACAGTGCTGACTTGCTAGTTAATGCTCAATAATTATTTGACAAATAAATGAACATATAATAAGGAGCTAACTTCACATTTCTATGAATATCAAAGATAATTTTGTGAGACTTCTGAGATTTTTTGAAACTGCAACATTTGTTATTTGCTATTTTTCTATCCATTTATATGTTGTATACCTGATTCTCTATTTTCCTTCTGAGATATGAATCATACACATATCAGACTTTTTAATACTGTGCCACAGGTCCCTAAAGCTGTATTCATTTTGCTCTAATTCTCTTAGGCTTAATCAGACAAGGGTAATATAAGTGTTTCAGATAGTACAGTACGGCAGAAGCTGGTGTGTTCCTATGATCCAGGCCTACCTCTGGGCTAGAAGGAACCTGTGATGGCAGAGGAGAGCTAAATGTGCTGTTCCTTTGGTTCTCAGCTTAAATATCATCTCCTTAGAGAGAATTAGCACCAAGTTTGTTTAATTATTGATTGTCTGGATCCCTGGCTAGATTATGAGGCCCATGAAAGCAGGTACTGACCTGGAATTCTGAACACATTTTTGCCATAGAAATATTGTATAAGTAACCATAATTTTGGGGGTGTAAAATGGGTTAAATGACCTTTTAATGAGCTGGCTAGGAGTATAACCACCAGGACTGCATCCATAAGAAAGGCATCCTGAGTTAAACCAACAGATGAAAAATACCTTCGTATCATAGTTCATTTGTATGTGGGATGGCCTATACTCCAAAAACTACTAATATTAGAAAACTGATTGTTTGATAACTGCCCTTTTAATAATGTTATTTATCTTCTTACTATGATTACCAAAGGAAGATGCTAATAATAATAAAAAGTGTACACTATCTGCTAATAATTCACACATTTTGCCTTACTATTTATTTTCTCAAAGATTCAGAGCTCTTATAAGTCTCACAACCTCTGCTACCAGATACCAAGTCTACGATGAAAATTTATCTGTCCCTCTGCCCTGCACAAATAGAACTTTCTGACAGTCAGTAACATCCACATCTAAACATCTAAAGTAGAAGGCTCTTTATCTCAAGTAAAAGCTATTTCTCAGTTGTGGTAGAGACTTAAATCACATTTCAACGCAGCCTCTCAAGGCGCTAGTGTGGGGAAAACTGCCTTCAGCCTTGGAGCCTGCTTGCATCATTCCATGTATCTTGGTGATTGAGTGCATTTTACTTACCACTTGGAAAAATGAGGCTATATTATAGATGCTTTAAGAACTCATTAGGATTAATGAGTGAGTAGTATCACAGCTGTCACATAATCAGCCGCAGAAAAGTCACTGAGCTAAAAACTCCACCACATACTCTATTATCTATGCTTCACAGAAGGTTCTGGAATACATCTCTGGGCTTGTATTTCATCAGCCCATTCAGGCACTGAATTCATCCAGGGCTCTTCCAAGATAACAACTGTGTAATTTTTCCTAGGGGATGGCCACAACTCCTAGGATTACCCTCTCCGGAGCAATCACCGCTCAGTGCCCATCCCCTGGCACCAGGCCAGCAGGGGAATGGCTGCGTCTACGTACAAGCTTGCTGTCATCCCTTTTCTTGCCAGAACTACAGCTAGTATGAGCCAGGTTGTGCAGGATGTTTGAAATTACAAGGAGAGAGTCAACATGCTGGCTAAGCAGCCTCAAAGGAGTTCCAAGTATCCTTTGGCTGCTTAAGTGAGGAAAGTCAGGCCCGTCAAAAGCAGGTTCTGGCAGCTGAGTTGTCCTGTATTAAGCTCACACCACTCTGGGAACCACTTTCAGGTGGTCCTGTCTCACTGCTGTGGAAGGAGATGCTGAGGCCATCTTTCTAAAAGCCTGACTGAGAAGGAAAGATTATTGCTGCTCTGAAAATAATAGCCTAACATTTCCTATTAACTGAAACATCTGTTTTGGTGGCTAGAATCATGATCTGTATTGAGGGATTATTTCAAATGTTGAGTTCTAAATATTTCCATTGAAGTCCTAGATACTAGGGCTGACAGTGTAGTAAAATTGTCACTGTGATGGAGCACAGAGAAAGAAAAGCTTTGAAATTAATGCTGATTCCTCCAGTTTCTGTGAGTGATACTACTGAGTTTATAATAGTATGCATGGATTAATTTTTCTTTTGACTGGAAAATAATAAACAACTTACTGACTGAACTCACAGCTTACTCACTGAACTCAAGTACAATACTCTCAATTGCTTGCTCAACATTTCTTGGCTTCTAAGGGTATTTGGTTTAGCACATTAAGACGAAAGGCAAAACTGAACAGGATTATTAAAAGTAGTGTATATGAGTTTTATCAGGACCAATAATGGAGCAGAAGCAAAACCAGCAAAAGCACTGAGTGATAGTGTGAAATGTGAAAGCAGCCTTACCCACTGCACCCGATGACTTTGTTGTACAGATAGGAAGGCAAGCCTTTCAGGTGAATGTTGTTATCCACGTACACATACTGTAGTTCTCGAGATCGACCTAAATCTGGATTAGAAAGAAAAGCGCTGTAACTCCTATAATGCACCAATATAATGTGAAATGTAAACCTTAACACACAATATTACAATAATTCAAAATTTCTGCTCTGGAAGCAAAAAATGTTGTAGATTTAACGCTAGGTGTGAAATTATGTCAGTTGCAATATGAGATTCTACATTAGAAAACATGAGTGCTGCAAAATTACTCAACCCAACTGAACCTTGATTGTTTAAACTATAAAATGAACCTTGGGAATATTATTAAATTTCCTCACCACATAAATATTCTATGACTTTTAATAAACAATTTTTATTTAAGAATAAAGTTTGTTATAGGTCATTTAGTTTCATATATTTCCAGGAAAAAGTGCTACACAAACTAAGTTGGCAGCTCAGTCTACAAAAGCCTAGTTCTGCTCTTATATCGAGATTCACTGTGTCTCACCTCCCCTGGGCAGAAAGATGGGAGGAGAGTGAGGGAGGCCTGGGGATCAGGCCCTGGTTAGGCTGGGACCTCAGCAGCCAGGTGGATGTGGGAATGGATGGAACTGCCCATGGCTGCAGTAGGAGGAAGAAGCAAAGGGAACCCCAAGTCCCAGTCCCCAGTGAGGTATGAAGGTACAAATGGATGGATCAGACCTGCAGGCCAGGGAGTAGGGCTGGAATGGGTTTGTACTAGGAATGGGAAGAGGTGAGAAAGGGGGACCAAAATGAAGAGTCTGCGAGAGGAGCAAGCTGCTAGCAAGAGGTAGAATCTAGATGTTTCCCAGAAGTAACGGGGCAAGTGATGAGGTGGAGCAAAGACCGGAGGAGGATTCAATAAGGAAACAATGGCACAGAGTACTGGAGGTGATGTCTGACCGACACAGGCAGCAGAGACCTTCCAAGTGTCAAGGTCATCCCCTCCCGTCCACTGTGTGCTGCCCAGGATATGTTTGACCAGCTTTCCTTTCCAGTCCTGTCATTCATGGGGTAGGACTATTTGTCTTCATTGTCAAGGAGGTGCACAACAGAGTCCTCAGTAGCCCTGCCAACTCTCTGCCCCCTGAAGCAAGACCATAATTTTTGAACAGTTTTCTATAGTTCTGCTTGTGAAAATAGGAAATAGGCAATAGGCTGGAAGATATCTTTTCTCCCCTCCTTCTATGGTTTAGGAAAGACAAAGGCCCAGAGAACTAAATTAGGAGGTTCTGAAGCATATCTACATTTCAAAAGAAAACTCATTTACCCATTAAGAACCTTTTAGGCACTACAGTAGGCCTTGGGGATATAGATGTGAATATGATATTGAGGACAGACATGAAAAATGATAACTGTAATACAATATGATTACTGCTATTAGAGAGGCTTGTATAAAGTCGTATGGTTTCACAAATGGGTTTTTGACAATTGGTTACATTAAGAGGGAGGTGGGTAATACATAGCTGAGGTAAGGAAGGGTTCATCATAGAAGACAGTAGGGAAGGGTTAACATTACCTCCTCTTTTCCACTGCAAGTCCTATCACAATTATCTTGCCCAGGACTAGCACCGGAGCAAGTTACAAAAAGAGGAACCAAAATTGGGAGCACGGGAAACAAGCAACAGAAGGGGAAGTGGCAACTCTTAGGCAGAAAAAAGAATTACTGGGCTACTGGCTAGAGATACCCTTTCCCAATGTGGTGGTTTTAAGGTATCTAATAAACAGAATAGGCAGGAATGCTGTTAGGATTTCAGACAGTCAGTCACACAAGGCATTGCGGCTTCCTCTTTGCTGTCTCCCTTGATTACTCTTTCCAAAGACAACTCCTTTGTAATGAGGGCCCTCCAGCAGCTTTACTGGAGGGGAAATGAGGCCTCCAGCCAACAGCCATGTGAGTGAAACATTTTGGAAGCAGCTCCTCCAAGCCCCAGGTCAAGTCTTCAGATCCCTACTGCCCCAAGACTGTTCCTCCCGTTAATTTTAGCATGCACCAATGCATCTTGTTTGCAACAACTATTACATGGTATTTATTTAGTAGTGATTTTCTATTACCATCTTTCTGCCTACACTTATTAACTGAAATTGTTACTCCAGAGAGTGGGTTCTTGTCTCATCACAGAAAAAATTCAGAGACGAGATGCTAAGTGAGAATTTATTATGTGATAGTACACTCTCAAGGGGAGAGCAGGCAGACTCAGATGAGTAGCTGCCCTGAGTTTCTTTGGCATGCTGGTTACACGGGGTATAAAAATGAATGGGCAAAATATTCACTGGGGAGGGAGGGGTTTGGGGTCCTATTTCCTGATTTTTATCCCAGCTCCACCTTCCCCAGGGGAGGAGGGAGTTTTGTCCTTATTTAGTCTGGATCAGAAGTGTCAATGACGTCAGTGCACAATGGGTACTTCTTATCTGCAAGGCTAATTTTATTGCAATGAAGGCATAATGAGCAAAAGATTTTATTTTGGACATGAGAGATTTCCACCTTTCCCTACTTTTGTCTGCCTCCAGGACCCTTATTTATCACCCTAAAATGTGTAGTTTCCTGTCAGTTTGGAGGTTCCTGCTTTTTTTCATCTGCCCAAAGCCCCCCACTGTTTATAAGATGTATGGTTTCCTGCCATTTGGCCCATGCCCCTTTCTCTGCTCATATCTAGTTATCTGCCTGCTCCAACAAAATTCTACTGTAAGAAAGAGCCATCCTTCTTCCCCATTTATTTATTTGATTTTTTTTATCAGTATGCATTCATGAATATTTATTTTATTTTAAAGACTAAAACCCAATACCATTATTGTTTACTGTGTTGGTTAAAATCTCCCAGTTCTGGCAATTAGGAGCACTTAAGGTTGGCCCTTATGTTCTTTCAACAAGTTTTTATCCTTTTTAAAGTATCTCTCTACTTTCTGGCACCACAAGATATTCCAATATCAGCTTATATTTTTCCTTGCTCTAGCCCTGAAATCAATTACTTCTCCAAGGCGCCTTAATTCCTTTTAATGGGATACGGTGTTTGGAAACCAGGACCTGAGCGCTGGATGTGCTCATACTATGGGAGTCCTACTTCCTCACAACTCCTTTGATATACAGACAAATCCTTTCATCACATATAGAAATCTTCAGACTTTAAAAGCATATAGAAAAGTCTGGAATTAAAAAAAAAAGGATACTACATTGATAAAAGTACAAATGAGCTCTCATCCCAGAGTCTGCTTGTCAGAGCCCATAGGGGTCTCGAGGGAAGATTTCTTTACTTGAGTTTATGCAGCAGTAAGGAGTGTAGGATACCAATTAATGGAGCAGGAACACAGTCTTAGAGTAAGAAAACTTGGATTTGAATTCTTGTTCTTCTATTTACTAAATGTGTTCCTCAGTTTCCTCATCTGTATAAAGGGGGAAATAATGCTGTCCCTTAATTTTAGTGAGAAGTACCTACAAAGTTTATAAATTATCAAGCACAATTCTTGGCACACAGCCTTCTTCAATATATGGCAGTTATTATTCTCATTACTAGTGACATATTTGGAAGTGTGGCCTACAGTAGAAGGCCAATTAAGAGAGAATTCTCTTTGGCATGCAGCAAAAGGTACTCTTTTCTATACTTTAATTGCACAGAAAAGAGTTGGAGGCAATAGCCTCTAGAGACAATGATTCATCTCTTCGAGCCAAGGACACAAAATGGGACATGACAGAGGAAACGCCTCTCTCCTCTAATATACACAGAAGAGCTTGTGCAAAGTAAATGAGGCTACGTGCAAAGATCATAATACAAAGTTAAAGTTGGTTTAGTTTCCTTTCCTATCCTAGTTTTATAGGGAAAAAAAATAAAGAGTTGATGATTTTAAAATGCTATTTGTTTTAGATCTCATCTCTGGTTTTCAATATTCCAGGGATTTCTGACTGTACCTCCTGATTACTTTGTATGGGGAATGTAATTTTTTAAATATTTATTTATTTATTTTTTGTGGGGGGAGGGAGAGAATTAGGCTTATTTCTTTCTTTATTTTTAGAGGAGGTATGGGGACTGAACCCAGGACCTTGTGCATGCTGAGCATGCACTCTACCACTTGAGCTATACCCTCCCCTGGGGAATGTAACTTTTTATATATGCCCATGATGGAATGGACTATTTCCTACTGAAGATGAAAGAAAACATGAATCAGCTATGCTCAAATCTATTATACATTAGCTAGTAAAATACCACACAGACATGAGTATTTAATACAGACCTTTAAACTTTGCAAATAACACAATTTCATATACAGAGTAAAAGCAGTACTGAAATTACATGTAGTGGGCTTTGGAGTCAGAACTGAGTCTGAATCCTGGCTCTCTGAACTAAATGCTCCAAGCTTGTTAACTGCGTCTGTGAAATGAAGGTAACAATGCCAATGTCATAGGCTTGTTATGAAGATTTAACAATGTATATAATGCCAAGCTTGATCTGTTGTATAGTAATTGGTACTCAATACATCTTAGTCTTTTACTTCTCTCTTCTGAATATAAACAGAAGATCACAAAAGAGAGTGTAGGATTCTAAAGAGCACCAGGCAACTCTTGCTTTAGCTGACACAGCACAGCCTGCTGGCCAGGCTGACACACCTAAACACCCAGCAAGGTCACACGCTGTACAGGCAGTGCTGTGACAGCCTCCTGAAGTGTGCCCATGGCCAAAAAGCCATTGGCTGGCAAACCCCCAAGCACAATGCAATGGCATTTTTAATCATAATGAGGCTGAAATACAAGTACTTGCTGCATGAGAAAAGCTTTGAGATATTTCTTTTACTCTTAAAACAGAAAATCTTCACTCAATAACTAACTTTGGAAGAGACCATTCATCTACTAGCTAATGAGCTGGTTTCTTTTCTTCCTTCTATTAATTTTAATATACTGATACTTTTCAATAAATGTATCATGTAGTAATATTTTTTAAAGTTCCTGTGAAAAAATTGCTCAGTATGTGAACTTTATAAAGTAAGGAAGCTGTCCATCTGCATAGATGCTAAAGCAACAAAGAACTTTTTCATGTGGCTTTTTAAAGTGCTGTACTG